GGGGCTCAGAGAAGAAGGGATTGACTCGTTCTCCAAAGCACCAGAGGGCGGGACAAGAAGCAATGGGTGGAAACTTGGTAAGAGAAGTACAGAGAAAAGGAGAACAATGGAATCCGTGGGACAGTTTGCTTCCTAGAATTGGGGGTGCTCCTTCGCTGGAGGTTTTCAGAAATAGACTGGACCAGGGGCAGGCTTCAGCTGGTTCACACTGGTTCGTCCAAACCGAATGTTAATTTTACATCCAGTTCAGCCAACCAGTAGTTCCGAAGACCGGCTGGCCCCTCCCCTCCCAGGAGTCCCCACGTGGCCCATTTTGGATTCCAGGTAAGCGCAGGGGGCATGTGGAGCCCGGGGAGGTGGAAAACGGGCCTCCCAGAGGCTCAGGAAGGCCGAAAACAGGCCTATTTCCGGCCTCCAGAGAGGTTGAAAACGGTTATTCCCCTTCCATGCCAAGCCATCTTTACCCTTATCAAGTCTTTGGAACCACCTGTCCCCCCACAAGGCATCTTGTACCCGTTGCGTTAATGAGTCTAGCTGGCAGCAGAGAGACCATTCCCTGCTATCCTGTAAGCGCTGCTGCTGCGAGCTGCCTGTGTCGGATGGTGGCATTTACTACTTCCTCACAGGGACTTCTGTACTGGGGCACAGGAAAGGAGGCACCTGCTAAGAACCCCCACCCCCACCCCCCCTCAATAAATTGTTAAAATACAGAGCCCATCGGACCTGCTTAGGGGATACTTTCTTGGGGTCTTTATTGCCTCTAGGTTCTTGTGGTCCATCCACACCTCAAGTGGGGATTTACTAACTTCAAAAAACTGCCTCCATGTCAGAAGGGTCCATCGGACGGCATAAGCCGCCTTCTCCCAGGTGGCCCAACGTCTCTCAGTGTCAGATAATTTGCCAGACATAGAGGCACAGGGTTGCAACTCCCTCTTTTCATTCCTCTGAAGTAAAACTGCCCCAACCGCCACATCTCTGGCCTCTGCCTGGACCATGAAAGGCTCACCTGGGTTTGGGTCTTCAAGACTGGCTCTGCAGCAAAGAGACCTTCAGGTTTCGAAGACTGCTTGGCATTTTAGAGACCAATTTAATGGCTAACTCGGTTTGGGCTTCACCTTCCCCCCCTCATCTTGACGGTGGGCAGAGCTATCTCGGCAAAAGTGGGGATGAACTGCCGGTATAAGTTTGCAAATCCCAGGCAGCTCCGTACCTGAGAGGCCTCCCACTCCAGAAGTGCCCTCACCTTACCTGGGTCCATCTCCACCCCATCCTGAGAGGTGCAATGCCCCAGGTAGTTAGGCTCCTCTTGTGGAAGTTGCGTTTAGATAACACTTCATGTACACCTGGGCTTTATGCAACTTCTCAAGCGCTGCCCTCACCAGCCTCACGTGCCCTTCCATGGTCTCAGTATAAATGAGAAGGTTACCAGGGACACCAGCCCCCCTTTCTACAGGTGCTCCTGCAAGACCTCATTGATTAGCTGCATGAATACTGCTGCCGCTCCTGGCAGCCCAAACAGCATCGCTCAAAACTGGTAGCAACTCAGAGGGCAGTTAAAGGCAGTTTTCCATTGATCACCCTCCTTAATCCTCACTTGGTAATAGGCTCCCCTCAAGCCCAGTTTAGTGAAAATCTACCCCATGTCCCTCAGATACCATTCAGCCTACGGCAACCCACACACAGAGACCCATCTTTCTTCTCTTTGACAAGCACAGGGGCAACCATCCTTGACTTCGGTGGCTGGATAAATCCCCTGGCTAAGTTCTTGTCTATAAACCCCCAAAGTTCCTCTATCTCCCTCAATGTCATTGACTACATTGAATCAGCTTGGGTAATTTGGTCCCGGGCAGGATGTCAATAGTACAGTCTGTGGGTGATGAGTCAGGAGCACATCCGATTCCCTTTCGCTGGACGCCTCTGCTAGGTGACGGTATTCATTTGGAACAAGCAGTTCTAACTCCTCACTTCCCTTTAGCGTATTCGCTGACTCTGCTTTCGCTTTCCTAACCAGGCCTGTGCTTTGCGTGCAGTGCTTTCGCTGGCCCCTGCTAGCTAGCTGCTTTCCTTCTCATTCACCACTGGTTGCTGTCCCAGTCTACTAACGGATTCCACTTCTTCAACCAAGCTAGTCCTACAACATGGTTTTGATCATTCCAGGAGCCACAATAACATAAATAGTCTCTAAGTGGGTCCCAGTCCTGAGGCTCACTGGCTCCATTAGGCAGGCTGTTGGTGTCTAACTGGTATACAGAGGGACTGAATAATGAAATGGATGAAGAAATGTTGAGAGCACCGCTGGTGGAAGACAAGGGATGAACTTGATCGAATATGGGTAAGAGCTGCTATTACGGCCTACATTCTGGTGATTTGTGCAGCAAAGTTTAAATACTTCTTCGCATTAATTGCATCTGCAGATAATTGACCAGTGATGCTCTTTAAGGTGACCCTCCTCCCCCTGGGAAAGGAGGAGACTGAGATGCACCTAAAGCGGCACGCGGAGTAATTTGTGGATTTTCTGGAAGACAAAACCGCTCAACTTTGTTCCCAGTTAGATGCCAGTGTGGTTGTTGGTTTAGTGGAAGCTCCTGAGGCAGGTTCTTGCCCTGTTATCTGGGAACAGTTTGACCCTGTTGCTCCTGAGGAAGTGGACAGGATTGCAACAGCACTTAGACTTATATACCGCTTTATAGTGCTTTACAGTCCTCTCAAAGTGGTTTACAGAGTCAGCCTATTGCCCCCAACAATTTGGATCCTCATTTTACCCTCCTCGGAAAGATGAAAGGCTGAGTCAACCTGGAGCCTGGTGGGACTCGAACTGCCAAATTACAGTGGAGTAGCTTGCAGTATTGCACTCTAACCACTGAGCCACTGAGGCCCCGTAGGGAATATGCGTGCAAACACGTGTGTCCTTCCTGGCTTGTGAAAGCTTTCCGGGAGGTGACAGGCAGGTGGACCTGGATGATGATTTATGCTTCCCTACAGGAGGGGGTAGTCCCCCGGCACTTTAAAGAGGCTGTGGTCTGCCCTCTTCTCAAGAAGCCATCACTGGATTCCACCTGTCTCCAATCTTCCCTTTTTGGGAAAGGTTGTTGAGAAGGTAGTTGCACAGCAGCTCCAGAGGACTATGGATAAAATGGATTATGTAGCCCTACCAGTCAGGATTCAGGCGTGGATATTCCCCCTGGCACCGTTTACTGCCAGTGCTGCCATGCAAAGATGACCCTCCCCTGGCTGCCCGCCTCTCTGGCCCACTGACTCTCAGCTTTCCTGTGGCCCATGTGATGCATCCAGATTATGTGCCTCCCCCCCTGCTGCTTGGACAGGGAATCAACTCACCTGCTCACGGTGTGGGCTGTGGCTGCTGCTGGAAACTGTTGACCTACGCTGGCTCTGTGCTGAACATGCCCACCAACTTATTTTTGCATTAGGGATTATATTAGGAGCACACTAAAGTGAGTCTAGGGCTTATTTTTGGGGAAACATGGTACTCTTGCTCCCAAGGAGGGCCCCAAAATCTCCACCCGGGTTGTCATAGGATGATGGTGCCACTTACCATCGGGTCTTCTTCTCCTTCACTGTCGCTTTGACAGAAGAGAAGCCAGGCTTGTCGTGTGTCGGAGTTCCTCCCCTTCGCTGGATTAGGGAGAGACCTCCACGATTTGTTGAGCCAGCCATCTTTTTCCTTTTGGATTTGCAGGTGGTTTCCTTGGCTTTGGTTGGGTCAGGACTCGCAGTGCAGATGCCAGTCGTTTAAAAGAGCGGGACAGGAGAAGACAAAAGCTTCTTTAGCGACCCTCCTGCGATCCAAATGGTTGCAGTGGGAAATCGAGGGGGGGGGGAAATAGGGCTATCTGAGGGGACGAAGAAGAGCGGCTGGCTCAGGAAGCAGAAATGCAGCGGGAATTTTGGGGTTGTCTGATATTTATTCTGACAGCAGCATGTGTACATTGCATTGAGTTTGCAGTTGGGAACCTGATGCATAGGCACGCCAGGCCCTGAAGCGGCTGGGGACTCTGCCTTCAAGGGAGCTTTCGTCGGCCCCCGCGGCGATGTCTCAGGGCTTGGCCTTCTCCTGGGCTCAACTCACCCGCCACCTCAGGCTGATCAAGTGATGCCAACCAATATTCCCTCTCGGCCTCTGTGAGGCTTTGGACGGGGAAGAACCAGTTTTAGCTCAATTCTAAGGAGACTAAGGGGCTTTGGGTTTTAGGATTCCCTGGATCCAATGATTTCCCACCCGTAGTTTTGGATCGGCGTTACCGCTAACAGGGCCGGCGTGCAAGCCAGGCGGCCCTTCCATGAACAACACCCGGCAGCTGCGGTCAAGAGGCCTTCTGCGGAGGCTCCGGGTGTGTGTGTGGCCACTGTGCCTTTGGAGAGAGTGGGAGGCAGGCCTCACGGTCAAGCAGCCTTGGCCGGCTCCAGAGCGGGTGAGGGCAATGGGGGGAACCCCGGCTGCCCTCGAAGGACGCCCTCCCGCCCGCACTGGGCCTCAGGCGCACGTTTCTGCTGGCGGAGCTGCCCTCGGAATGTAGGGGGCAATTGAGGGTGTTGCTTGCCACCAAGAAAAGCCCCTCGTCGCCTGGAGTTGCAAGGCCGCCGCCGCTCGGAGGCTGAGGCGTCCCGTCTTCCCAGGCGGGAGAGGAGCGGTTGCTGCTCCAGGTCTCCTCGGTCCGTGTCGGTCACCAGGCGGGACTCGGCCAGCGGGCCTTTCCGCCCCCCCCCCCCCGCCCGCCTTAGTTGGTCCTCGTCCCGCCGGCTTTTAGAAGCCGCGGGGGTTCCCTGGGCCGCGAGTCGGCGGCTCGGCTTTGCTCTCCGGGGCGGAGCCCCTCCGCCGCGGCCCGTGAGACCCCGTGGAGCGCCCTTCTCGCCCCCCCCCCCCCCCCCGAGGGGACGGAAAGCGGCGCCCGTTCAAAGGCCCCGCGGCCAGCCGAGGAAGTCCCGCCCCCCTCGAGGCCCGATTGGCCGAGGCTGCCTGACGGGGCGCCTGCGCTCCTCCCGCGCGGCTGAGGGAAGTGGCGGCGCTCCGTCCCGCCGGGCGGCGGTGGCGGCACCGGCACCATGAAGAGCCTCAAGTCGCGTCTGAGGCGGCCGGAGGCCTCGCCCGCCGGGAGCGGCGTCGGAGGGGTGAGCGGGGAAGGGCGGGCGGGGGTCGCTCCCGGTTGGGCTCGGCCGCCGCGGCTGCCCTCTCGCCTTCGGCCGGGGCTCCCTGGACAGGCGGGGGCGGGTGGGGGAGCCTCCGAGGCGGCCAAGAAGCGGCGCACCCGCTAAGTCCGCTGCGCCGGAGGCCTCTTCGCCCCAAGGAAGTCCGGCCGGGCTGGCGCGGTTCCTGCGGGTGGAGCGAAGCAGCCGGGAGGGGCGGCGGGGAAACCTCCCCGGAGGCGGCGGCCGAGGAGCGGCGGGAAGGCCGGGGCGCGGGGCCGCTTTCTTTGCCCAGAATCTCCCCCCTCCCGGAGCCCGCTTGGTCTGCGGCCCGAAGGTCCCGCCTCGCAAGGAAGGGAGGCTTCTCCCAAGGAACCGACTCCCCAGAAGCCCCGGGATTGGCAGCCAAGCGGCTCCTCTTCCTCGGGTCGCCGAGGATGAAAACGCCGAGGGTTTCGCTGCCGCCTGGAGTTGCGCTTCTGCCGTTGCTGGACTTTGGACTTCGCCGCTTTTATTGACCGGTTGTCCAGCCAGAGTTGGATTTTAAACTATGAATTTGGTCTGAGGGTGGAAAATGGAGCCTGAGACCGTTTTTGTCCCTTTCCTCTTAGCGGGGCTCCTTTTCTGGTGCTATTGATCAAAGCAGCCCGGGGGGGGGGGGGGGGGGGCTTCTCTTTGCCCTTCTCTCCCAAATCCCAAATCCAAGCTTGGAGCTCTTGGAGCCGCCTTCTTTGGAATGCCAAAGTGCCCCTTTCCCCCCTTCTCCATCCCTTGTGCTTTCCCAGATCAGGGTGCACCTCAGGATGCCACCATGCCAGGTGTGGATGGGAAGGTTGCATGGGAAGGGGTTGACTAGGAACGCCGGTCCCACCTGTTTCTCCCATGTGGAACTCTGGCCCAGGAAGGTGAATTGGGCTGCAAGGTCCTCACCACAATAAAGGGAGGACTGGTGGTTTTGTGTCCAGCAGCCCTGTGAGTATTGCTGATGCTTGACCTGCTGAACAGGACAGGTACACTTTGGGTGCATGGAAGAGAGCAAAGGCAAGATTACCTGCCCTACAAAACCCTTGGCCGAGTGTTGCCGCTTGGGTTCCACAGTTGGTTAGCAGCTGGCCGTACCGCCCAGAGTGTGTGGTTTAGGAGTTGTAGCTCATGTGCAGTAGATTCATTACTATGCTTGGTGATCTTCGTCAAAACTGATAGGTTTTTTATGGCATTTAGGTTAGTAATGTTGAAATGGAAGAGAGGTTTGTAAAATTTGTTAAATATTTATTTATTGAATTTATATTGCCACCTATTCGCCCATGGCAACTCGAGGTGGCTTACAGAATGTAAAACCATATTTAAAATAAAAAAACAATAAAAACTAAAAAAAGAGTAAAATAAATTAATAAAACAAAATCTGGAAGAAAAAAAATCACCCCCAACTCCCACCCCACCCCGATGACAACAGATCACACGAGCCCTTTGATGGGCTCCATCCCGCTTTGGGTTCCCCAGGCCCGCTGGCAGAACCGAGGTCTTCAGTGCTTTCCGGAAGAGGGGACCGTTCTAATCTCTGGGGGAGGATGTTCCAGAGAGAGGGAGCCACCATGGAGAAGGCCCTTCTTCTGGGTCTCACCAGATGTATCTCCCTTGGGGATGGGACCTGGTCTCAAGCCATGAAGGGCTTTAAAGGTGACAACCAGCAACTTAATTGCACCCGGAAGCAAATCTGCAACCAATGCAGCTCCCGCAAGAGTGCATGTGCACACCGGGGTCTGCACAAAACCATGCAGGCCGCTGCATTTTGCACCAATTGGAGCTTCTGGATGTTCTTCAAGGGCAGCCCCATGTAGAGTGCATCGCAATAGTCAAATAGCACCAATGTAGGGAAATTGGCTAATACCTTAAAGGATAAAATCACAATTCAAATTGACCTTATGTTTGAACATTCCAGCCAGTCCACTTTCACCTGTGTCAGGTGTGGGGCTTGCACCTGAGTAGGAAAAAACAAATACATAGAGACCCAGGAAAAGTGGTTTGATAATGCATGTGAGAAAGATTGAAGAGTCCTTGCAAACTGGTGGATGAACTTTTTTCCAACTGATACATTCCATGATTCTGTAAAAAGAATATCCCAGCAAAGACATTGAACTTTTTCTTGTTGATATAAAATTGCTTATTTTATTGAAATAGTTATCTGAAAGATGTAATCTTGCAAAGAGGTTCTGTACTACACTTGTAAAGTAATATTTGCACCCAGGTTTATTCTTTTAGTCCCTACTGTGCATGTTGTATAATAGATTGTCTTGTATTGTCTGATAAGATGCATGAAGTCATATTTTAAGTTATGCTACTTTTTGTGCATAAAACATGCTTCTTGTATACTTTTAAAGTACTATCTAGAATCTAGTGAATGGCCTGTAAATGCTAGTTATTGTAGATTTTCTGGAATTAAAAAATGCCAACAAAAACAATATAGGAAAAGTGAAGTACAAGTGGTCCTGTTTTTAATGACCAACAGTTATTTAGCAATTGAACAAATGGTAATTGTGACTTGTCCTTATATTCTTATGGAGTATCCTACCTTATCTGTGATCATGATTTGCTACAAAGTCAGTGGGGAAACCATCAGAAGGTTGCAAATGATGATCACATAATGCCCCAGTTGCCATCATTATGAGAGGATTACATGTAATTATGATTGATGATTATATTAAATTTCCTTTGAAATGTTTCTGTTCAGTTTGGGAAAATAGTACTTTTGTATATGTGGTTATATGTTTTTAATCAGTTATGTCACAGTTTAAGTCTGGTTCTGAATGTGGCCAAACTATGACTCTAATTCAAAATTCTGTAGTATTCTGGTATATTTGGGGGGAATGAATTTAGCAATTGCATGAGAAAGAATAGAATTTGTTTGCTTGTAAGATGAACAAAAGGTGTGTCCATTTAATCAGCACAATAATACCTTGAATTAATCACAAGTTTTTGGCCAGAGGTGCTTTGAAATAGCTTCAAAGACTCTTCTGTGAATAATTAGTTCCTTTATAGGAGGTAGTCTTACTGGGTTGTTTACGTTTTTTAAATACAAAAAGTACATGTTTATCCACTAATTTATCCACTAATAATACTTCATAGAAGGTGTTCAGGTGTTCAACATAGAGTTGCATAATTAGTGGATAAATGAGTTAAGACTTGTCTATTAATTATAGGGTGTAAAGGAGGCTTATTCTAAAACCTGCTGTTCTAGAGTTCTCTTCAAGAATGTCAATATTTTGTCCCTCCCAGATGAAGAGCTGAACACCATGAATCAGAAAGGCTTAACCCTTCAAAGGCCGCATCAGGGTGGCCCATTATTTCCGTCTGGGGTTTAGCAAGCGAGTGAAGCCATTCGTGGGCGGGGTGGGGTGGGGGGTGGGAGGCTTTAAGCCTCCTACCTCTCAACAGTCGCAGTGAAGGAAGATGGAGGAAATAGGGAAAATTGTTTTCTTGATTCAAGTCTGTAGAGACTCTCCGTCCTCCAGGTCCTTGTTGCCCCGAAGGTGCTTTTTTTTCCAGGAGGCAACTGGAATTTCCTGTTTTTTCTTTTGAAGACTTTTTGCTTCTCATCCCAGAAGCTTCTTTAGCTCTGACAGGATGGTGGGGAATGGAAGGGTTTATACTCCTTGCAGACAGCTGGTCATCTGCATCCTTTTAGAGGGTGCTTGAAGCACTTGGAGGTTTATCTGTGTCCAGTGGGTCACCTGAGTGGTACTCCTGGGTCCTGTAGTCTGCAATTTAGTTTTCACTGGAAATCCCTTCCTACTCCCACACCATGTTTTCTTGATTCCAAAAGGCAGGAAAAGATGAACAATGGGTTATTCCTCATCATTTTAGCCATTGCCTAAATCGGTCCTGCGCTTTCTTTTGCTAGTTGGGCCTGCAAATACTTGCTGATATCATCTCTCCATCTTGTTTCAGGTTTCCTTTGTGGACACTTTTGATCCAGTGGGATCCATTCTATGACTGCCTTGGTCCACCTACCCTCAGTTCTTCTTGCTATGTGACCAGCCCACTTCCATTGCAATTCTTTGACTTTATTGATGGCATTGGACGTGTGCATTTGTTCTCTAATCCATGCGCAGGATGTCTTTCTATCTTCTCTTGTAAGAAAGGAAATTTCACTTGACTTCAGGAAATAAGTTTTACCACTATTCAGTAACGGGCAAGGAGGTAGTGCACTGTCCTTTGCTGAAGAGGTTTAAAGGGAGGCCTTCTTGACTGGCTATTGTAGTAGTCTATCCCTATCCTGCGCAGGGGTTTGGGACAACTCTCTGTGGCCAGCTCACCACCACCAACTTGCCTCTGCCAAGTCACCACAGGACAATTCCTCATGGCCAACTTGCCGCAGGCAGGCGGAGGGAGAGCCAGGTGGGTGAGCGAGCAGGTGGGCAGACTGCAGGGCAGGATGGACAATGGGGAGGTGGTGGCCATGGGCTTCCCATTTTCACACCCATCGTCGCTGCCGCCACGCTAGGCTGCAAGGGGAAGAGGCCAGGGACGGTGGCAATGGCAGTTGCGGTGGTCAGCAGGGAAGCAGTGGAGGCTGGGGGCATCCCATTTTCACACCCACTGTCACTGCTGATGCTGCTGATGCGGAACTGATGCTTCACTGAACTCGCACAGCAGCCGCATCGGTGGCGGCTTTGAGCCTGGCGTGGCTGTGGCATCAACAGTGGTTCTGAGCCCTCTGGCTGCCCATGGTGAGTTGTCCCTGCGGCGAGTTGGCTGCATGGAGATGTCCTGTGGCGATTTAGCGGCAGCGAATTGGTAGCAACGGTTCTGGCTGCAGTGAGTTATTCCATTCTGCTGGGCAATGGGTTGGACTAGTTGATACCCCAAATCTCTTCTAACCTACAGAATCAGTAGAGAATAACCAGGAATCAAGATAATTAGAATAGGGTGTAAACCTTAACACACACACCCATTTTAAATAAAAGTTATATGGGAAAAATTAGGTA